CACAAAGACCCTTCAACCACACAGACTCCTGGAGACCCCAGGAGTAGTGGGATGGAGGAGGTCCCCTCCTTGGCCCAGTCCTTCAGCAGGCATTTCTGTGAGCATCTTCTAGTTTCCCACTAGGCGCTGCACAGGCACCACCCATTCTCCTAGAGAAGTTGTAGTCTAATAGAAACAGACAAATTTTAAAAGGAAGGAAATGAATAAACAAGATTATTTCAAAGAAGAAAATGCCTAGAATGTGGAAAAGAGAGAGGGTGGGCAGGAGACGGTCATCAGGGGAGGTTACACTGAATAGGTGAGGCCCTGATGAGAGATAAGCTAACAAAGACCCAAGACATGGGAGTAACCATAGGGTTCTAGGCAGCAGGATGGAAGTGCAAAGGCCCCAAGACATGTGACTAGGAACGGGGAGATGACAGCAAGCGTGTGATCCTGAAGGGCCCTGGTGCCACAGCCAGGATTCCAGGCTTTGCTATAACTGCAACGGGAGCCCATGGGAGGATTTTAGGCAGGGGTCAGACTTGGCCTGTTTTTTCCTCTACAAGGAAGATGTCTTTGGCTGCAGTAAGAGAAGTGGAAGAAAGGGGGTTCAGGATGGAAGCAGGAGAAGACAGCAAAACCCCAAGCAAAAACAGACAGGGGAGAGATTAACCAGCGGAAGAAAGAACTCTGCCCCACAAGCCCAATACACCTGAATCCTCTACTTCAACAAGCAGAGGAGCAGATGTCCCAGCAGGCTATACTTCTGCTGTCCTTACCAACTTCTTGACCTGAAGTACAAGCCAGGAGAAATAAATAGTCCAGGGCCCCCCTAAAAGATATATCTAGGCTAGATGTACTATTATTCTTAAACACAAGGCCTTGTGTTTTGTGGTCTCATGCATGTGAGGCTGAGCTACTTCCCAGCCCCAAGTCAGCAGCTTTATTTGCAACCAAGAATCAAGTGGTAACAGTTGGATACAATGGTAGACACCTGAAATCTCAGCTACTGGGGAAGCTAAGGAAGGAGGATCACAAGTTTGAATATAGCCTTAGCAATAAAGGGGGATCCTGTCTCAAAATTACAGAAGTAATAAGTGCTAAGATGGAGCTCAGTGGTACAGTGTCCCTGAGTTCAATCCCCAACACTGGAAGAATAAAAACAAAAGTGGACTTTCACTTATTAAGCAGGGAAGGAGTTCAAAGATGATGAAATATCTACTGCATTATAAAAAAAATTATGATCCTGTTGAAGAGTATGTGGAAGACCTGGGCAAAGTGGTGCCAGCCTGTAATCCTAGAGGCTCAGGAGGCTTTGGCAGGAAGATGGTGAGTTCAAAGCCAGCCTCAGCTTCGGTGAGATGCCAAATAACTCAGAGAGTCCAGTCTATATAAAATACAAAAAGTGGTAGGTATGTGGTTGAGTCACCCCTTCCCCTGCACAAAATAAAAGAGTATGAGGAAAAATTCATAATTAGTAAAATGAATACAAAGTAAATAAAAAGTTGGGAGAATTGCCAAGTCCAGGAAAAACACAAAGTGCAACAAGAAGACATACGACTGAGGTGCACTGAGTGGACACCACTGTGCAAGGCAAAACTGCTGCTATTTCATATAG